ACTTAAGCATTATTTGTTGGTTTCTACTTAGGGCCGTCGACATACAGAAAACAACTTAGTAGACTCAATGTCAAAATTGAAATTTTAAGTACTGTACTAACTTTGTGATTTAATTTAATTTAGCATTCATGTTCTAAATAAAATGTTTTCAAATACAATATATATATATATATACTCACTTTACTTTTGTCTTTTTAACATTTGTTCCTTTAATTAGATTGTCCACTTCCAAAATGGAGTCCCCCTGAATGTGAGATGGACTGTCCTTTGTGTTATAACGGTGGAGTTTGTGACGATAAAACCGGTCTATGTATTTGCCCCGCAGGCTTCAAAGGTGCTAACTGTCAAACGGGTAGGTCTACAAAGTCACTATGGAACGGCCACGGTGCCTTCGTCGATGCAAATAGCATTTGGGCTGCGACTTTATCTGATTAATAGCAAGGGTGGATACAGAGATGTTCGAAAGGGGAGGAGGAGAGATTCCGACCTCTGACGCGTTTTGAGCGATCAATAATTTTCTTTTTCAATTTTTCCACTTTTTTAACTTTCCAGGAAGTGGGTGGGTGGTGGGTGCTGAGGCCGGCCAAGAATACAGTGGTGACTACAACATTCGCCGACTATATCATTTGGCGATTTAGCATTTGGCGACTACATCATTCGTCAGCTATAAGCATTTGGCGCCTACATGATTCATTCATTCATTTTTCATTCAAACTTTATTTAAACTCGAGTTATAACAAATTTACAGTAATATATATATATATATATATATGTATGTATGTATATATATGTATATATATATATATATATATATATATATATATAGATATAAGTATAAATACATTATATAAATACAGTAAAACATTTACAACAGCCTTGTTCGATCAATTAAAAGATCATTTTTCAACAAGTTTGAAAGTGGGAAGCAGTCAAAGGATAAAATATTAAAATACAAATAAACAGTAGTATAAAATTATCAATAAAATAATACAAATTGCATAATTCGATGACGTTAGCATTTGGCGACTAGGCCTACTCATTCGGCGATTTAGCATTTGCAACTACAACATTCGGTGGCCCTATAGCATTTGGCGATTACGTCATTCGGCGATTTTAGCATTTGCGACTACAACATTCAGCGATCCTAGCATTTTGCGACTACATCATTCGGCGACTTTAGCATTTGCGACTACATCCTTTATTGTTTAATGTATTTTCTTTTTTGTCTTTTGTGGGGGTAACCCACTTTTATTGTCTTTTTTTCATTTATTTTCAATATTTTTTTTCCTCCTTTTATATACATACTTTATACAATACCTTTAACAAACAGCATTAGGTCTTATTACCTTCTTTCTTTACTCACATATTACTATATCTTATCTTTCTTTATACATAATTATTTATAAAGACTGCAAATTAAATACACATACATTTAAACATCCCCAAAAAATTATTACATATACATTTTAAGTGTTACAGTTCTTACTTTAAAAAACCTTCCATATTTTCTGTAGCTCTTTCCACTTTTCTTTAGCCTTTTGTTCATTATTATACATGTCGCATTTAATTCTAAGCAATGCATTGTATTTAAAAGAACTATATATAATGAGGTACGCCTTGATTTATTTAACTCTGACAAAATCTTTTCTTTGTAAATAACAAGCAGAGCCCACTGAGATACATTGAGTATCATTGGTACATTTGTCTTTGGTATGACCAGGCTGATGGCATTTAAGACAAACTGTATCTGACTTACAGTGATAGTCAAGGTGTCCTATTTTCAAGCATTTCTTACATTTTAGTTCTTGTCCTTCATGAAAAGCTCTAGCTTTGAAACCGTTTATTGTCACTTGTCTTGGTATTGATGACGTCAATTTTTCAACAAATATGGCTCTGTCCCCATTTAGCCAGCTAGTGAGTTGGCCGTTAAATCTTATTTTCATTCTCATAATTTCTCCTATTGGTTTACATCCTAGGACTTTTAATCGTTTGAGTATCTCAGAATCCGAGGCAGAGAGTGGAATATCTTTGATTAATATCCTGGTAGCTTCAGTAGAGTGGTATGCAATGTATGGATTTTTGTCATATACCGATACGTTACATTTCCTTATGTTCAATCCATTTGTTATCAACTGTACTCTATCCTGTCTGTTGTTCAGATAGATCCTCCACAAATTTCGTATCTTTTTAACTCCAACTATACTATCTGGTGAAATAGTTTGGGTAAGCGCAATGCATAAGTCTTCGTCTCTGAGATACGATTTATTGTCTGACGGGATTTCGTCCGCTTTTAGGAAGACGGGTTTCACTGTACTATTGTTGTGCTCTTTGTTTACATGTTCCGCTTGAGTGGATTTTGTAGATTGGCCTTTGTTTATTTGGTTGCCTGTAGCAACGCCTTCCACCGAGACGGCGGGAAACATTTGATTATAGGCAGATATTCAATGTGTAATAATTTCTCAATATTTCAAGATTCACAAGCTTCTTCACAGATCGGAGTTTCTCTTTGTGTTCTCTGACATTAAACTAATTGAATTTACTTACTCAGATGGTTTTTCACTTTCAGTATCCTTAAAAAAAGCGCAATTTTACGTAGAGATAGCTATCGACTGTCACCTTGGTTTTAGACCATAGCGCCCTCTCCTCTCCTATAGCATTTGGCGATTACGTCATTCGGCGATTTTAGCATTTGCGACTACAACATTCAGCGATCCTAGCATTTTGCGACTACATCATTCGGCGACTTTAGCATTTGCGACTACATCCTTTATTGTTTAATGTATTTTCTAGTAGTAAATATAATGAGAAGTTTTTCGTTTTGCAATGGGGATATAAGAATTCAATCTTTTCTTGCAATAATAATAGACAAAAGAAATATATAAAAGTTTTCTATTCAATCAAAGTTACCATCCTAAAATTGTAGTAATTTTGCTTCATAAGAAATGTGATGTTTCTGGGGTTCTTTTCTGTTTATGATTTGTATTTTTTATTTGATTTTGTAGCTTGTGGCTCAAACAATTTTGGTCGTAATTGCGATGTAATTTGTAGAACTGGAAATATCGAAGCTTGTAGAGGAAGTCTTTTTTGTCCACCTGATCCATTCGGATGCACCTGCATCGACGGATACGGAGGGAACAACTGCAAATCAGGTTTTGAAAAATTGTCATTGCTTGCTAACAATTTGCCTTTTTTTTTGTTCATCATGTATCTATCTATCTATCTATCTATTTATCTGTCTGTCTGTCGGTCTGTAGGTGTGTCGGTGTGTGTGTGTG